ATGAGGGTTATTTCTTAACTTTATGTATTCTTAACAATAGTAGTGTTACTATAGTATAGATAATGAAAAAGTGGATCTTGAGTAATCGAGAGCTAGGAATAAATATATGTATTTAATAAAATATGGAAGCAACACGGACAACACGTAAAAACTACAACTCAACTCTCTTACAGGCATTCTCTCCCAAAAATCATTCTCTGGAAATCTGGCCCTGCAATCTTGGGTCCGCGACGTTGTGCAGGCTATTTTCCCTCGACCGTTTTACAACCTTCACTCACACTCATTCTTACATTCACTCTTCTTAAAAATACCTTAACCTACGCGAAAGATTCTAGATACTACACTAATGTATTGGGTCTGTAGCGAGGCAATTTATTTTGTACATTTCGGAGTACGCTTTCTCGCGTTCCGCCAAGACCTGTGCGAGTCTGGCTACGGTCAGTTCACGCATCTGGCAGCCAGATTCGCACGAGAGGGTTTTTCGGCCAGCGGACACTTTTTCCAGGAGATTCGCGCCCTTTTCACGCGCGTTTTTCCTCCTGCGTTTTTGGTGTCAGCGTGCCTTGCTTCTTGTCCTTGTCTAAGGACAGGAGGATATAACCTGGAAGACAACCTTCAAAACAAAAGTCCGACTGCCAAAACACATTAACTCATAAACCCCCAAACCACTGTTCTAGCTCATTCAAGATTGTAGGTTTCTTGAAAATTTTCCTATGCAGATAACAGAGGGCGCACATTACAGACTTAAAACATCAAGCTACCATACTAATCTAAACTCCTCAAATAATATTGCAGGTATAAAGACACCGTCCAAAAGGCAATGCTATACATCACTCAAGGGAAACCAAAAAAGAAAAAAGGGACGAGAGTCAGTCCTCAGCTCTCAGTTCTCAATCACACAGTCACACGCAATCTCGCCAAGACGCTACGCTGCCCGAACGCGAAACAACCCCTTGTCGTACCGCGTATTTCAACTCACACGCCGAACTCGGGCACTTCCTCGCTACCATTAAGAGAGGTGTTATCGAGAAACCGCGAATCCCCGTTGATTAGTATATCGCGCTCTCCCACATAACCACCTGAGGTCATCCCAGTTTTTTATATTTCTTATATTTTTAAATATAAATATAAACAAAATTTGTTTTAAGAGAATTATAATGTATAGATAGACAATTTATAGGTAACGAAGGAGAATATGTTTTGGATTAAGAACAGATTTGTGTTTATTCTTATTTTTAAAAATAAAAGAAATTAAAAACCGCATTATTTATGGGGTGACCCAATAATTGTGTCAATAAAGTGACAACTGATTGTTCCGAAAGGGACACAGAGAATGCAGTGTAATTAATCTGATAAATCAACTACGAAAACATGATCTACAAGGAAATTTGTATGTTCATATGACTTGTGGTTACTGCTGTTTGCGTAAACACTTATAAACTTATACTATTCTGAAGAATTCTGAAGAACAATAGTGTCGAGCTTGCCATTTACGCTTGACTCATAGAATCTCATTCGCGTGACAATTTGAACAATTTTATTTCAGAAAAACAACACATTTGTAAAGAAGTATCAATGAATTTAAATTGTGCGTGCTATATTCAAATTTTTGTGTGGCGTACTAGACAAATATCGATGTTTTAGCAATTATAGTTTGCATTATTTTAATCTCGTCGAAGATATTAGATTATAAGTAGAAAAAATCGTATCCAACTGTATTAAACTTGTTAATATTTTGTTACAGTCAGCCTATTTATTAACGTTCTTATAAATAAAATGAAGCGACGTAACAACTCTTAAATTTTACATTTATCCCATATTAAGTTTTGGAAATATGATTATTTCAGTTTTATACGAGTACATTTAAATAAAACTATAAACATTCTCATGAAGAAGAAACTCTATTGTTTCTCTTCAAAATAATGTTTATGGGGGGATAAAGCGAACTATAAACTAAAAGATAAAAAACTGATAATCCTCAGGCGACGGTAGAAGGAATAGCGCGGTCAGAGCAACAAAGTCACGAAGAGCAAGCAATGCTCGTAGAAAGGATTCCGTTCGACCTGTAAAGGACGAAATAAAAGAAGTACGAGAGATTATGGAGGATGCTCAGAATTTGGAGCAGGCAATGCGACATCGAAGAATCACTATGATCATCCTGGGAACGTTTCTTTTCCTTCTGGCTGCGTCGGTTCTTGCGGTGGTGGTTACTTTAACCCAAAGTACTTTCCTGAGACCTGCTATAGGTTCTAAGGAACTTGCTGAACATCGAGCGCCACGTAATTAACGATTTTAAAATAATAGTGCTAATCAAACGACTGTAAATATACGTTAAAAATGAATTTAAACAAATTTTATATTTTGAATAACTTTTATTTAAATTCATTTTTAATTCTCAACTTTAAGTGGGTGTAAATAGTAATTTCTTCAATTATTCTATCCAAATGAGTTGTTTACAAGAATATCATTGAAGTTTACTTTTTATACATGTTTCAAATGAATTTAGCTGAAGATATAAATTATGGCAATGTTGTCCATGGTGAAGGGTGTTGGAGATTATTGGGTTAGTGGAAAAATGCAGTTTTGGGGATACATAAACAAGTGAATTTAGTATATTTCAATTACCTTTAATTCAATATATTCAAATGTTAACTTTTATCAATGATTAATTAAAAATAATCTTGTCTTTCTATAATTAAAAGTCATCCTCATTTTTCTAACAAGTAATTAAAATAAATTGAAGCTTGTGTCATAGTTCTGTACATCTAAAGATCATGAACTTTTCTGGTAATCTGATACATATTTTTTATATACCTTCTTCCTATCATTTCTTTAACAAGTTCATGAATTCCTTATAATATGAAATTTTTATTGTCTCATTAAGTTTTGCAAAAGATGTTGAGCTTTACGAAAAAGAGGCAAAGAATTTTATGGAGGAAAGTTTAGTTTTAATTACTTAATTGAGTGTAAAATATCTTCATAAACATATGTACATAAACATGTGTATATAGTTCATTTAATAAATTTGTTATTATAGTTATAATCATTTTCAGATATAAAAAAATGGTGGTCTGATCTCAGACATCAGAACAATCAGTATCATATCTTTATCAGAATTTTCCGGTAATTATATCAGCAACTTATCCGAACTTATGAACTTACAGTCCATGTTTAAAGATTATTCGACCTAATAATCGAGTTAAGGATACCACAAACGATAGCAAATGGAATATTGGTAAAACTAGAGAGAAACAAATCTACATGTAAAATTTCTGTTCACTTATAGAACTTCATTTTTAATAAAACTGAATTTGACATAAATGATTAAGTACAAATTGCTTATCGTATTAATTTGGGCATCACTGTTTTTGTTCACGTTGTCAAAAACTGACGATGTCGGAGTTTAACAAAATAATTTAAACGTGAAAGACGTTCAAATAAAATATGTATGAAGTATAAGCATTGTTTATAATTATTTTATCATAAATACATACAGTAGGGATTTAAATCAAATTACAAAAACTCTACACATATTTGATTGACAGTAGTATTTTAATAAAAATAATACTACAAAGGAGAAGTAAGATTTATACGTGATACTGTGGTATCTGTTATGATGATACTATCAATGTTCGCTGCAAGTAGAAATGGTCAGCAACAGATACACATGGTAGTTAATTATATTTCGATATTCGATGAATTTTTTAACTTGTTAGTTTTTCGAATATAAACTTTCTCACAGTTATATTTACTAACATTTTATTTTACATTTTATAATTCGTCTTTTCGTGAAGAATTAAAACCATATTGTTGTTCTTTAAAATTGCAACACAATTTTGTAATTGTTTCTCGCCGATGCGCATAAAATATCCTATAACTCACACTGTTCTTTTAAACGAACTACAACACTTTTAAAGGGTTAAAATATATTTAATATATTACATATATTAAAACATTTCATTATATTTCATTATATTTCATTATAATTGAACAATTTTATACATTCATTATATATAAATAATTCAATTAATTATTTAAATCATTCAAATTATTCACATTTGACTTCATGTTTCCCATAAAGAGAAACACATTCGAAATTTATAAACATTTCACTGTAATTAACAGCCATTAACATATATTTATTCTTTCAGTGCGCAAGGAAAACGAGGAACTGTTGAATTCTCTCAACAGAGACTTCTCATCCGAGAACACAACGGTACCTTCATAAGGAAGGCGTCCCGAGGCAAAAAAATAGCATCTTTTGCATTTAGATGAAAGTTTATCCGAAGAAGGAAGAAGAAAGGAGGTGAAGTCGGAGAAGAATGACAAACAGAAAAGGATCACGACGAGGACAACTTCGTTCCGGAGTGTCGGAACTGACGATCGTTTTGCAAAAGCGGCGTCGAAGTACGGCAGTAGTTGCGTTTCAGACATTTTAGATACAACCACGGAGATAGCAAGTTTAATTTGTTCGTGTTAGTGCTACGTACACGGTCAATTTGTCGCTTCCGCCATTACACAAACTTCTAATTAGAGTCTGCAACAAGATAGAATCAGTACTGCGACATTTTTTAATCCCCAATATTCACGAAAAACGTGTAAGTTCATTTTCTTCATTGGATCAGTTCGAGGAACATGTTCGCAAGGAAAAGGGGAACGTTAAAAGAATAAAAGTTGCACGTGTAAAGTTACACGCGACAATTACACGTCGCTTCGAGTCAGCTCGTTGTCGATGTTACAGCAACGAGGCAAAGATTATATGAAATTTGTTACGACGATGTAGTAGGAAATAATATTATATTGTATCGTGTACTGAGTTGATACGCGATTAGGTACGCAATTGAATTTTTTCACAGAACGTACTCCACGAGTCAACCGAAAGGAGATATCCGAAAAGGTGCGCGTGGAATTCTACGCGAATACTTGTTGGAAGGAAGATCGAAATGTTGATATTTTTGCAATAAAGTGATTCCGATTTCATTCCACGGGAATACAAATAATCGTTACGAAAATTATTCCATTGACGTGCTTGAGCTACTGGAAAAGACAATTTCAAGCAAAAGTAGTGTATCGAGGTTTATCAAATTTTTCTAATTAGACCCGAAAATCAGGTAAAAATATATTTTCACTCTCAATGCCAATGTTATTGATCATTTGATTAAAGTTTTGACTGTGACAACTGGTACGCATAACGCGGATATAATTTATTTCACGGAAGTCTTCCAGTTTAAGAGACAATTCATGTGAACGATTGTTGCTAACGGAATACATTATTTTGTTATTTTTTTTTTATTTGTAAGGAGATGTTTATATGATTTCAGTTATTGTTACACGACCACACATGGAACCTGTAAACGAACTATGTATTTAGCATCGAGCATTGACCGTTAGAGAAATAGTCATTATAATTGCTGTTGTTGGTTGTTTGTAAAATATAAAGTGTCAGAAGTTGAATGAAGAGGCGTCGGTTGTAAAGTTATGTTATTCTAGTGTCGAACTAGAGAGACGCGCATATACATACACATATGTAAGATTTTGTACATTAAGATGAGTAGCATCGCGATTGAAACATTTTCTTCGGTTATATAGTATGTTTCAAAAATATACCAACCCACTGAATATTGAATATTATAGAATTCTAATGAGAAATTTTACTACAATTTTATTTTTTTGGAATTCTTGTAGGAGATAAGTAAATTTGTGTAATTAGTTGCAATAGTTTAACGAGAACAAAGTTGAAAGAATAATATATGAATAGTGTTTCATAAGTATATCAATTTATAATCATACTTGAATTATTCTATCATTTTAAAGGGTTCCACAATTCCGAATGATCTGCGAAATTCTTTTCTGCTTGTAATAAGAAAATTTAGTATATTTTCATGCGTACGATCCCACGTTCAAATACTTAATAAGATTCAGATCTGAAGAATGTACGATCAGCCTAATGGTTATACTATTTCTTTACAAATTACTGACAGTTTTGTATTATTTTACCTAAATATGATATTTTCTCAGAAATTTCAGTTAAAAAAAAATAACAAATAAAGTTTAGGAATATATGTACAATAAATGTATTTTTATTTTTCGTTATTTGAGAAACAAGTTGAAATTATTACCAAACCTTTGTCAAAAATTTTCGAAAAAAAACAATTTTCTGCTTATTTCAATCTATACTAATTATAATCAACTCGTTTATTTATTATTCAATGTGTTGTCGGGATCTTTAATTGTAAATAAAAATCGTTTCAATTTTTATATTTACTTCCAATATAAAGTGTTAATGAAATAAATAATACTTATTTACTAATACTCAATGGTACACGAAAAATGTACAATATTAATACGTTTCCCACATACAGTGTGTTAATTAAGTAAGTCATATATTAATAAGATCTAAAATCTTATTTTCTTTATGAAAATGAAAAATGTGTTAAATGCAGAAGTAAAAAGATTTGTGACGTACAAATAAAACAGTTTTTTACATTTTAGTGTGACATACTTATATAGTTCTCCCTACAAATTTATCTGCTTCAGTGCCAGCAACAATTTCGATCGTTTATAAATGGTACCTTTTCAACTATTTGTTTTACGCCTTACTTTAACAGTGCTTGTAAACTTTACTGGATTAGAGATTATTCATATCAATTTATGTTCCTTCTTTGTTCATCCTGCATGCTTTTTTTTCATTATATTATTATTCTTTTTTATGATATTTGATAATAACACCTCTCGACCGATGAAATTTCTTCGCGTGTACCCTTAGATTCCACTTTCCACGTGGAATATTTCGATCACAATTTTCTCTCCTTCATATCATTGTTCTGCACCTGACACTTTTATATTAACCCTTTGACTGCAGTTGCTCTACTGAAGAACCATTAACGTTGTGCTGAAACGTATCGTTATATTCCTTCGTAGAGATTGATTACATTGTTAAAAATAAAAAGATCTTGAGACGGTAGTTTGATGAATTGCAACATGTAAGAATATATCACTGTCATAAATATTTTGGAATATTACGCTTTTTATATACGTTAATAAACGTAACAAAATAATGAAATAAACCTATTCTGATATTAAAAGTTTAACAAGAATGATCGAACTTGGTACACTTATGAATCACTTGAAAATCAAATTCTCAAAGTCGTTCAAACGAAGGTAAAATTGAAACGTAAGAAATTATAGCTTCCTCCAGCTGGAATATTTAGTATACAATGTATAATATGTACAATGACTTTTGATTGGTCAAAGCATTTAAATGTTAGGGAATTGGTATATTTTTAAAATGTACTGTACTGTAGTATGTATCTTCCAACAACTAAATTAATACGGAAACAATAGTGTTCTTTTTAATTAGAGTTTATTTTAATTTCGATAAAATAGAATTTTGTTTTACTATGAAATGTAATTAATCCTTTGATCATCCTTTCTGCCCCATAGGAGTAACATTCATAAATAAAAGAGTCGACTTGTTTCAAGGAGTGTTGTTTCATGTGCTGTTTGAAGAATATGGAGTAGGACTTCCATTATCTGACTATAATACTTCTTTCTACTAAACTGTGAATCCTTATTTGTATGAGAGACGAATGAATGTTTCATTATTTTGAAACGTACATATGTGTCCTCAAGAAAAATGCTCGGATGATTTGTAGCATGAATTAATATACATGTATTTATAACTTGTATCCTAGAAGGAAAGATTTTGTTTCAATTGGCCTAAGATATTTAAATATTTTTAAATCCTGACATGATGCTCCAAATGTTTTATTGCTTTCTCGGTATTATATATAATTCGGTCGGCGAACGTTCTATGTTATATTTAGTCATAAACCACCCCAAATTACTCAAAATTTCTTATTACAATGACTGGGCTGCCGATTTTTATGCAATCATAAGTTTTTCTGAATTAGTTTACAAAGTTAGTATTAAATGGATATTAAAGTGTTTTTAAATTTTAATAAAATCGTTTATTTTGTTGTGTTTTAAACATTGTAAATATTGTGAATGCATAAAGTCCACAGTCGCTTATTAAATTGATTTATTAATCAGTCAATTAGTAATAATTACTAGTTTCTTAATATTTAAACTGAACATTATAATGTTGTAATTAAAATACTCCTTCAATGTTATAATCATTTTTTTTCCGTAGTTCATATTAGTTTTAAAGTTTCAAAATAATCATTATGAAATATGTACCATAAACTATAAATACAAAACCCAATTATTATTTATAGTGTTTACCTTTGCGTTCAACGCTTGCCTACAATTAATCAGTCAAATTAATTTATTTTGGCTAATTGAATCTGGCTTGACCAACTAAATCGAAAATATAGTATATTTTCTATACCTGTAAGAACATATGTACGCACACGATAATTGAAATTACCGTTCGATAAGCAATTTTCATGATTTCTTTAACACTGTAGCATACACTTGTATTATGTCAACAAAAATTTATTTGATTGCAGATGTATTTCTCATTTAAAAAACGCCACTAAGTAATTGAAAAACAACAATAGAAGATTATTCGAAATTTGTATTTTTAGTAGCTGGAATATAATACATTAGTTTTCCAATACTATGTTATAAAACTTTAAGTAGTAAGTTCTTAACATAATGTGTTTGGTATGAAAATATTAATTGAAAATTACTTGGATATTTTCTAAAAACTATTCAGAATACTGCACGACTATTTGTTTTTGAACAAAGATTCGTCGATTCTAATTGTTTTCATAAAAGTCCATTTGTTAAAAAAATATATGTATTTTAATTCTTTACGTCATACTTTTGCCATGCAAACGGATCTTTTTGAAGACTATTCTGACCGATGAATCTAAAAGCACATGGTTCTGCAACTTCACTTTTTTTATCCAGCTGCAATAGGTCTTAAGATCTTCAATCAAATAAGTTTTTCCGCTACGTAATTTAAAAGACGCTTTTGGCCCTTCGTTATGGACGATACGTGTCTAATAATTTTCAGTGCTCTACCTCTGTGCGAAGTTGCGATTGTAAGTCGATGGTTGTTACTTATTAGTGACGGTCCCTTGTAAGTAGTTTTAGCATGAGTGAATAATTTTCGACAGACGAAACGATTGAACAATTATTGTATCGTTGAATGAAAGGAAATCGTTGGAGAATGCTTGACCTAAAACAATAAAATAACTTTTGCCTTAGGTTGATAAAAATCTATCTTTTTTAGAATTAATATACTTAATAATAAAGATTAAAGGTTCGCTCAATTCCAAAATGTTAAAGTATTCATCATTATTTCGGAATACGTAAGAATGATTCGTTTTGCTTGTATACAGAGCAAATCAAATAATTTCTTTGTAATAAACTATTCATTGATGAGAATTCAAACGATATTAATAAAGAGGATAATGTTATAATACGTATGCAATTTAATGTATAAGATGAACGAGGTAAAGGTATTATAAGAAAATATGAGCGAATAATAATGAATAATATTTGTTAGAGTAAAATTGCTATAAACTTTGTAATATTCGAAGAAATTCTGAACACGCATCACTCGGCGTTAATAATGTATAATTTATCAGTATTAGTCATGGTACGTAGTCATCGCAGTATGATGAATAAATCATTTTATCCATCGACGCTCAACCAATTTCTATCTCGTCAATTCTTGTCTTTTGCGCCGAATTATCGATTACGCTGATACTCTATTCCTCTTATTACTCTGAAGATGGCCGTCCTTTAGAGATATTACCTTTCGTTTCATACAATTGAAGAAAACGAAACCATAACCTTCTGTCGCGAGGTTTTTTCAAACTAAAGAAAGTTCTTAACACGTTCACGCCGGTGTGATTGAACTCCTTTCAATGAAACTATTAACAATTCCAATATTATTATGTATTATACATAGTTTCTTAAGAAAAAATTGCTTTCCCTTTGTTTTGACGATATCACATTAGACGGCCTGTACTATTGATGGCTCACATTTCCATGACACATCAGCGTGTACCATCAAATATGGAGTTCGTTAAACTGGTTTGGTAAATAGAAAAAATTCAATATTTCCAAGAATTCTAAGAATTTCGCTGTCAGATGGGAAAGAACGTAAATTGCAACGCCGGCGTGAAGGTGTTAATACGATAATCTGCGAATCAATCAGTTTTTAAGGAGTTTCTTCTTTCCTTGAAAATATATACCTTATTCACTTTTCACGTGAAATTCATATTTCTATTAGACACAATCAATAAAACAGAAACACGTAAATGTTATCTAAAATCATATACTTTAATATTTGGTAAAATATTTTGGACACTGATCAAATTTTTAGTCGTTAAAATTTATGCGGATTAGGAAAATTTTAATAATTCAGAAAATACTTGACCCCTTTATGTTTACTGTTTTAGTTAAATATTTCATTATTTTCCTATATTGTTATCAGAACAAAAAAAAATAAAAATGACGCTAACTACTAAGTCAACAAAGTGCTAAAGCAATTTACCGGATGTTTCGTGAACAAAACAAACTGTAAATTATATGGGAGATAACGAGAAAAAAAATTAAGTATCGAAGAATGCGAATTATGTAGTATTTCACCATTATAAAAAAGTGACAGAAGTCATTGAGAAATAGCTACAATGGTGTACAGAAACAACAACAGTACAATGCAGTAATACATTATTAAACAATACGCAGAGTGTCGTGGCGTGACAAATAAAATTAAAACAAATTAAAAGAAAATTAAATTTGATGTTGAACCAGAAAAATATTTTGAATAAAGGACTTGGCGATTCAAGTGTCAAAAGGTTACTGAAAAGAAACAATAATCGTTGACAATAAGTCCGAAACAAAGCGCGTATTAATAAACAAAGTTAACGGAAGCAAATCGGGAAAGGTGAATTTCGTAACATTTGAAATTAGGAGATTAGACCTTAATTTCATTGATTTCGAATTTGTTTTTAAAATATGGACCTTTAAATTTCACACTATCAGCTTGTTTTCATAAAAACATTCTGTACTTGTAAATTTTTATCCTGAAAACTAGTTAATAAAGTTAAGTTTGTAATATTTAAAAGTTTAAATAAATTCTTCTTCTGTAAGTTTACTTTTAAAGTCGAATGTATTTAAATTAAAAGAAAGGGACAACTATGTTCTTTGAAATTTGATTTTCAAATGAATTCTCTTCAGGATGAAGTCTTTAAAACGAACGTCGTAATGAGTTGTTAGAGATCCACTGCGCTCCATTTCAGGTAAACGAACCGTGCGCTCCACTATTATGGCCGGTTGACCTCTAATGCAATCTAAAAACAATATCGACAGGTATTGTTCCCCTCTCAATGGTTTCATTTACACCTGCAGAAAATTGTTTTCAATTTGCTTCTTATGAATGTAGATACGGTTTACATCCAGATTACTGTGTACTGTAAAATGATGCTTTGATTCAGATTTTTTGCTTGAAATCTTTAAAATATTAGTTTAATGAACATCTTGGTGAAACTCCGTTAATTTTTAAGTCATTTTCCTTCGTCAGTATTATTTTCAAATATTAAACATTTATGTGACGTTTGGTTTCTGCGACATTTTGATATTGTTTTTGTTATAATAATGTGATCAAATTTATGTACGTATATTCTTTCGTTTAATTCTTTCCAGTCCAAATTGAATGTTATTTTTCTGTTATTAATTGTGATACTTTTGAGTAAACGTGGACATGGAATAAGTGCAAGATTTTCCTATTTTTCTTCATGAATTATGTACAAGAAAATGTCTTTGTTAAGCGAAATTGGGAAAGAAATGATAGGGTAAGGAGCTGAAGCAGCAAGTGTAGTAAAAAATAAAGAAATCATTTCTAATCTTTCAGCAAAGGGGTTCGTTGTAACATTTATCGAGAGAAATTCAATTAGAGAACATTATTGAACAAACTGAAACCTTATCAGCTGATTATTTTATATCTAATTGCGTAATAGTAATGATAATTCAGACAACAACGTGACAGCGCATCAACATCAATGGATCCTGCTGTTACGGTGAGTTTCAAAAATGTTTTTGAATTCATTTTATACGAACATTCAATTTAACAGATGTGCACAGTAGTAGAAGTAGTGCTGCAGACATTAGTTAAATAGTAGTGTAAAAATAAAAAAAGAAGATTCATTTTGAATTGGCATCTTGGAATAATGTTAACGTAATTATTATATGAATTACTATTATTACCTTAATGATCTATTAATTTGGGTTACGGACGAGAGAAGAAACGTTATTTCTCTTGTTCTTAAAAGATGAACCTAGAGCAAATCTTCAGAAACAGTTAATATTGGATAATCTTACAGAAATACTTCTGTTGGTATAAATGAAACCATTGAGACGGGTACGGTACCTGTCGATATTGATTTTAGACCACACTGGAGGTAATATGGGGTACGAGTGGAATAGACAGCCGACTTCAGCAGTGCAGAGCGTAGCTCGTTTATCTGAAATGGGGCACATCAAATCATTAACAGCTCTTTACGACGTTAACTTTAAAGACTCTGTCCTAATACAAGGCTTATTTTGTACGTGAAATTTCAAGAAATCTAATCATATTCTTTCAAACAAATACAAAATCATCGAACTTTCACGGCAAAATTTACAAAACAATCATTCGTCGATAATTTTCGATATCGGAAAACCAGTTGTTTAAATTAATGGAAAAAATATTAAAGTCGAACGTTCTAAATTGAAATGGGAAGATAATCAACTTAATTCAACAAATATTTGTCTTTTTTAAACTGCATAATTAAAAAGGATTTGTAAGCAAAGTATTAAGTAATTAAGGTGTACAGTTTTAAGCACCTAAAATTAGACTGTGGATGTTTCGGTAAATTCCACGTCTTAATGATAAAATTTCGAAGATCGGTATCGAATAAAGTTTATTTTGTAGCATGTAAGAAATATAAAAAATATTCCCAGTCTCTTGATAATACCATACAATTTTTAATTGCATACGACTGTTAATATAAATCAATGAATAGGAAATTGTATTTTTCATTCTTATAATGAAATTGAAAATTCGCATTTCTTAATACGGTCTCTGAATGTAAACTTTCTCTATCTGTCTTTTACTACGAACAATTCTGTTGAATAGAGAACATGTACAATTTACGCAGCCTTCTTTGAATAGTAACGCAAGCCGTGTAAACACAATGGCCAACTCACGAGGAATTAGTGAAGCTTTTGTAACGTATTTGCGTCGCACAATCCACCGTCGGTCCTTGCACGACGACTTACCTTAAACTATCCTGTAAGGTTAAATTTACATCTCGAAACTGCAGAAATTCATTAGCCTGATAAAAGAAAGGTTTAATCTACTCGATCTCTATTGAAAACTCGAAGAACCTGTTGCACTTTATTAGAAAGACGGTAACTATTATATGGATAGTAATAACAATCGTTGATATATACGTGATTTAATAAAAAACATCCGAACTTCGAAATGAGAAACATATTTTTTCAAATTTATGGTAAAATAGTGTCCATTAACTGTTCTTCAATGTAAACTTTATACAATCTGAGTGAACATTCAAATTTCAATGTTTCGCAACAGCTCACAAAAGTATTAAGATAAAAAAGTTATTTGTTGCTCCATATTTCCTTACAGTTCATTCCGAAGAAAGTAAAATCAATATACTTTCATATTAATTATATTGTCTCACATCATTTTCGAATTAACATGTTCCAATTTAAGCGTTAGTTTCACTTTTCTTGATTTAACATTATGAAATCATCGTTCGTGTTACAATCCTCATTGTGTTAAGAAATAAAAAATACAGGGGACCATACTTGGGGAAAGTTATTATAAATTAACACTAGAACTACCGATAATTTATTGGGTTTGATATGTAATCCTTATAAAGATGCTAACAATACATTCTTTTCGATTTCTTCAGATATTCGTCACAAAATGTAAATGAAACTATTTATTTTCAAAATCATTTCGGATATTGAATACCTTTGAAATATCAACAATTACAAAGAAAACTAAAATCCGTCATTTTGGCCGGTATCGTAGTTCTAGTAATACTAGACAGTAAAAGTAACGACCGTCACTCGATTATTTCGGGCTTTCAAATGCAGTATTAAAGAACGTGATTCTTACGTAACAAGTTGGACATAATTGTTCTAAATATACCAGCTACCCGATTGATAAGTGTGACGTTTGTCAAATATTTACCTACGATGTAGACCTATCATTCAGCACATGCGTTGCTGTTAAGATGTATTTGATTATTCATTTGATGAGCAGTGATTTGCTCTTTTTATCAAGATGATAGGAGCTCATGTTTCACGCATTGTTGACCGGTTACAAGTTAACTCGTATTTCACGCCCAAACGTTGTTGACCGATCACGAGTTAACTCGTGTGTGCACTTGCATTAGCCATTTCAATTTTTGAAACGCAGGGCAATATAGAATACTGCAATGACGAAATATTCAAAGTTATCTAAAAGATATGTCCAAAAATTCATTCCAATTCATTATGTATAAATAAAGTATATTAAAATTTATTTAGATTGTCTTCTATTCTAATTTAATTACGGAATGGTAATCGATAATAATGAGATAGTTTTTGTATAAAATTTCCGGTCAACAATATGTTAAATTGTTATAAGTTAACACGCTCGCGACCACGATCAAATTTGAAATATCCTTACTGTGGACCGTGGGTTCTTTGTAATCGTTTCACATGATGTCAATCATATAATTTTGACACATTTAAAACATAATAAATAAACCTAACACAGCATTTTACACGTATGACGCATGGTCGCGAACGTGTTAAAATGAAATTAACCATTATAAAATAAATGAACAGCTATAAAATAATATAAGTACCGCAGTACTTTCTTTTTCTTTTAATTACGATTAGTATAAGTAACCAAATATTTTCTAATAACAGCGTACATGCAGGAAACACAAGTGATATAATCTAGAGCAGCAGAGTTTGAAAATGTGACATATTTCAATCTCGTGTTACAGGTTCTGATATTTTTTATAAAATCACGTATACCTACTTATAGCTACGTACAAAGTATGACCATAATTATATACAGTTTGTTAATACTTTTAGACAAATTACACTAAACTTATCGTTAGTCATTGAGACACCATAGCTCTTTGTATACTTTCTATAAAATCTAAATTTTCTTTTTCTATTGTAGTGTTGGAATTACACTATGGAATGGATAATGAGATCATTTTCCTATTAGAACAAAATTCCATTCTGAACAAAAATATTTAAAATATTACTTGTTGAAAATGTCTTAGAAAACTACTAGAAACAAGTAATATAAAATCTAACAATTAAATTAAATTAAGTTAAATTAAATTAAATTAAAGAGATTCAATTGAAGGACCAATTTACTTTACATTTTTCATCAGACATTTACAATACATAATTTCATAATATTATTTATCGTATTTAATATATGTACTGTTTGATCTAATTTCATAATATGATATTCCATAATTTTATTATATACAATTGTATAGATCGAATAAATGTTTAGTTTCTAATCAAACAATCATTAATATTTATACATACAATATAGTAATTGTAAATTCAATGTTGACGTAGGAATTTCTTTTTTATTCCTTAATTACGTTCGATATAGATTTATTTTCCTGATTTATCCAATTCTGTCGAATATGTATAAACTATAATATATGATTCTCATAATATACTGTGTTAAGTACACATCAAATTTCTTATACGTCTAATCCATTTTACAAATATACTGCTACAAACAATATCTTCAACACGTTTCGTGTTATCTGAACATACATTACATGTCAAAGTAAAGTTGTTTGATTATACGTAAGACGGGCTAATTTGGGCAACATTAATATCATTTACAATTAAAAGACGACGAGAAGGACAAAATTATTCTCGCTTGATTAATAAATTCCAAAAATTTACATTAATTATTAAATGGTTATAATTTTCATTAAGGACTCTATCCAACTACAAAAAAGATGAACAATTTATTAGACCTTTATTAAAATTTGTAATTTTTTTTGTTCAATATATTTATCTATGTTATAATTATATGAAATTCATAAAATTGATATGCAAATATAAATGATTATACATTAATTTACACAAATTGAAAATAAATAGTAAACTTATTGTTTTGTTAAGAGTCGTGTTTGTGTTGAACTGAAATAAACAAATTCTTTGAACTATGTCAAGTGTATTAATCTTCAAATTGTTAACCGAATTAGCTAAAAATATTCAGAATGTAGAACAGACAATGATATGTCTAACATTGATAAATGAACTTTTTTGCATTTGTACATAATACGTTTATAAAATATTATTCGATTTTATCGCATGTTGGTTTGACATGTAACTTAGAATCAAGTAAATCAGATGTAAAATTCATATCGCAATAATAATGGTAGAATGTTATAACTTCACTTTTGAAGAATTCAGATGATTGTGGGAATATTCACTGAAAAAATTCAGCATTTGTCAAAAGAATGATGTCAAACTTGATTAGAAACTACTGCGTAAAAAGAAATAATTTTCTTTGTGTTTAGTCTACCACAAGAGTCATTATAGTCGGAGTTATTTTCTTGCCGCTTCGAAGAACTTGTTTTCTCAATCGGGTCAACATTATCGACTTCTTCTTCACCACGGTTAAAGACTTTCTTTCATCGAAAATTACTGATTCTTATATTGTTGAAGCTGATGCATGATCTATGAGTTTGTAAATTCTCGTTACGAAACCAGTTCCTTTGTTATTCTGCTCTCTATTAATGTAATTTTATATTTATAAATAGTTTTTACACATGAAATTGTTGATTATGAACTGATTTACTGTTAAACCCAATGACGTTTTATATACGAACTTACTACTTTATTTAGATATTAACCCTTTGCACTCAAGAATATTTTTTCAATAAATATTCGTTATTTTTTTATGAAATATTAATGACATTTTTTGTTATTAACATACAGAAATGTCTCGCATAATGTATGTACCAAAAACATACAAAGTCTACAATATTGTAAAAGCGAAGCTATTTATATAAATTTTCAAAAGTACTTACATCAAACTTAGAAGCTATTTTCTCGATTTTGAGTTTTATAACTTCCAAAGAATATTATTTAAAAACTAATATAACTAATAATACACTAATAAACTGAGGAAGCTAATAATCTCTGGCACAATTCTTTCAATATTTCACAGATTTTTTAATGCATTCAATACAAGGGTGTAAAATAATTCGAAATTATTTGGACAAGGGTTAATATACTGTTTCTGAGTCTAAATATATTAAAAATACAATAAATGTACACACATAGACACATTTCTAGAAAGAAATTTAACACCTTCGTGACTAGCGTCACATATCTGTGACACTTAACATTTCTATCTAGCACGAAAGGAATTAAGTTACTTTCACGTGCGTTTTTATTTACACCGTAACTCATAGTGCAACCTGCAAAATGTTGACAAGATCTTGATTTTGAATTTTATTTTCATTTTACAAAAACGATACGTGGCATTTAATAAAATATTGTGACTGCGAAGATTGCTACTTAAACAAAGGCTGGCCGTGAACGTGTTAAAATTTAGGTAACACGAAACATGTTACTCGGATGTTGTCAGCAGCTTTCCCACTTGGAAGGAGAACTTTTACTTCATATTCCATGCAGTGCCGCTTAATACGAGCGGTGTGCATATACGATACGAATGTACTTAACAAGTAGGTACACGAATCCTCTTAAAGCACTCTTAACGTTCTCGTTCGAAGAGAATCGTGGAGGCGCAGAAAAATTCTTTGGCCTAACGCGAGAAATCTCTACTGCTAGAGTTTTCTTCCGGTGAGCGAATTCCCGTACAAAGGAAGAGATAATACGCCTCTGATTCAGCATGTGTTCCCAAAGCTACTATATGGATTAACATGTGTTCAATACAGTGACGTAGGAACTCTATTCGCGAGCAGCACATCCATTTTTCAATTGAATTCTTGTACACTTAAACTGCATTCATTCTATTGAAACAAAGCTTTACAGTACACGTATGCACGAGTCGCAATTGCAAACGTGTCTGTGAAATGAATACATTATTGCTCGATTGGGAAGATCAATTTTACTCTAGAATTAAGGTACACTAACGAATGATTGGAAGAGATATAAAATGTTATTCGTGTATTGTTAGTGGAACAAATGTAGTGAATTTGGAATGTTACGGAATAACATATTTATTAATTATAGCTTGATAGGCAACAGATCATATTTTAGTACAGAAGAATATTTATTTTTCAGCTACGTGCAATTAATGTAGTTATTGTTTAATAAGTTACTTCAATGGCTGACAAAGGAAGACTACATTTGTTTCACAAGCAATATATGTAAGTACGTTTGTTGTACACACAGTCAGTCATAGAACTGTAGATAGGTATACTGTATACTGCTGAAAATTGATTTATTAACAAGTAAAAGACAGGCATTATTATCAGTCATGTATTTAGAAATATTTTAAGTGAACCCTAATATTTGTTAAACTTTATTCCAGGAAAATATTTTGGTATTCGATTAATTATTGTATTAGTATTTTTCTGGCCTTTATAATAATCCAAGTTATTGTTTGAAAGTGATATTTCTTGAAGTGCTAAGTTATTGTTTATTGGTTAATGTTGTGTGAATACATCGTTATATTAGTATCGTTATCTTGCTGTTTTAATTTTCAAAATAAAATATAATATCTCGAAAAATATTGAGTTTTCAATGATTGTTTCTTAAATCTTTTTTACGTAAAATAACGTAAAGAAACTATTTATGTAAATAAAAAATATAGAATTTCATTTTTAAAAATGTGCAATTGCACTTTGAAACTGTATCAATGCAGTTATAATGAAAAAAGTACTTTAGTATAGTAAAGCTTGCCAAATAGTGCAAAGTCTTCTTTTACGATTTTTTCTAACTTCATCAAGAACGAAATTGAAGCCTGTCCCAGTTACTAGATACACCCTGTAGGTACTTATATGGTTGAATGACTGACTGTACTCCATTTCATATTAAAATGTTTAAATATTCGGGTTACTCCGTATATACAACTGTATAAGGTGTCTCAGAATATCGTAACTATTAGTTAGTTAGTATTAATTCGTTTAGCGGAACATTTGAAAAATATATTATTCAAAAAATGTTTATGATTTATATTTAATGCGAATATTTTCTAACAATACTGGCAAGAAACAGAATAATTTCTTCATCTTTCTAAAAAGAATTATCTGAAAAGAATTTTAAATATTTTATTCGGTGAATTGCAATGAAACTATTATTGAATGAAAGCCAAAATAATTATTGCAGAGATAGAAAGCAGCAAAAGTTACAGTGAACTTTCATGACCTGTTCCTACGTTACCAAGAAATCTATGAGAAAATAGAACCACAAATCTTTATAATAGTATGAGAATTAACGATTATAATTAGATTGCGGATTTCTGTGCATTGAAAGCAAATGCCCAGTAAAATACAGATATAAATGAAGCTGAGCAAGAATTTAAGCTTCATTTTTATCGAAACGATTATTGAGACAATAAGATAGAAGTCGTTATTAGTTCCTTTATAGAAACCTAAATTCACCGAAATGTGTTTAGGTAAATATATAGCTTCATTGGCCAATTTACAACAATTCGTATTAAAGATAACTTATTTAATTCCTTAATAGTTGAATCGGACCCAAAATTAAATGAATATTTCATTACATTTTTTAGGAAATTATATTGTATTGCTTTTTGCACGTGGATATTGGTTATAAAGGCATAAATATCCGCAGTCTACTTATAAACTTTCGATTGATTAGCGACAGATATAAGAAGACAGTGTATGCGTGTATGTGCGTGCATGTGTGCCAAAATGAAGAATAAAATTGTGGTTGTACCAAAATAAAATGTACAGAGTATCATTTTCTTCTTCGACAATCAAAGTATGATGTGACTTGAAGTGCATAGATATATGTTTTTTGCGCAATGAAAAGAGGTGAACGTAGATACCTACTACATATGTATTCGCTTAGAATGCGTTGTGAGTGATAAGTTACAGAAGAGATGAATTTAATGAAAAGAACGATAAGGTTAGGAACAATTATAATATTATAATATTCTTAATTGCAACGTGATTCATTTTCACACTGCTTCTCATCTCCCTAACGTCTTCCTTTCTAAATAGAGAGTTTTCAAAACGATTTTATGTAAAAAGCAAATAATTTCATTATTGTTTGTTAGCAAATATTGAGAATATATCTAGAGCCTCTTTATTTGTGTAAATTCTTTTATGTCGCGATAGAATGCGTTTCTCTGTTAAGACGGTTGAGATACAATTAACATACTTAGGAAGTAATTAAGCATCGTCAAATTATGAAGATTATGATAACCTCGCAATTATTTTTTTTGTTAGAGTTAAATGAAACGTGGAACGATAATTATTGTACATTTGCGCAACACATTACACATTCTCTAATGAAACCTATCAATCGGAAAATGGGTTCAAAGACTTAGTGATGATTAAATGAATTCATGAATAAATTCGTACATAACACATACATATGTGTATTACATATTGACCATTGTTTTTAAAGGGGCATATACACTCAAGAGTTAATAAAAAACAATCCAATCGCAAATCTTAAAATATACAAACACTGTTCTTGATAAATGCATATTATATTTCAAGAAATTGCTATCCACTTCGGAGAAGTTAAAGATTACTTTTTCTGGGAAAGGAATAGAAATTCGATAAAATATTCGCTATGTCAACAAATTCATAGTATTAAGTTAAATTGCTATGTAAAGCTCGAAGTAGGCAACTAGAGTAATTTCTAATACATAAATATTAAACTTCTCCCAAGTGGATAGCAATTTCTTGAAATAGAATATGTGTTTATTAAGAACAGTGTTTGTATATTTTAAAAAATGTTTGTAATAGAAAAAATACGTGTCCACAGACGACTCAAAATATCACGAGTTAAAATATTAGATATAACGATAGGAAATGAATATGGGCGTCAACTTCTTATTTGAATTTCACTTTGTCATGTTCTGTTTCATTTGCGATCTTCGTTTACGCGAATCAGCCAATAACAAAAGCGGTCGAAATCGAGGTATCAACGTTCGTCGCGAGTGGACGTGTCCCCTTACCACATTTGCCCCTTCAGAACGTAGGACATGTGAAGAAACGTCGTTTGTGGAAATGTATTATAAAGTTAAAGGAAAAATAAATATATTGTTACGTATAGTTTGAAAACAAAACTTTAGAGTAGGTAAGGTTTTATGTTCTTCTGAGTGTGTACACCCCTATGGATATGTAACACGACTATTTGATTAAAGAAAATTTTTATTGATTAAGGAACTCAACCCCAAGTGTAATGAAGTACTTAATGTAAGGCGTGAATACAGGATTTTACCACCAAGAATCATAATAATTATTTGAAATATGAAATATGTATCGTACAATGTTGCCAGATGTTAATGAATGAGATATTAAGATTTATGTTTATATATTGTAATAACATTTATGTATAATGGGTACTATAATGCAAAAAATATACATGCTAGTTGGCCATATTTGCATTCTTATTTCATTGAATTTTATAGTTTCCTAATAGTTTCCTAATTCAATCGCGAATTTCAGTGTATGATTTCCACGCGAATTGGCTATGGCTTCTCGTAAAGTAATCATTCCGCGCCAAAGAAATAAAGCGAAGTTAGAAAAAGTATCCACTGTATTCAAGACTTATTTCTACCCACTTCGAATAGTATATATAATAGAACCACAGGAAAATACAAATAAATTACCATTTTAGAAAAGTACACGCGAAGAGTAATGGATCAGGTGAAAGTTATTAGAAACAAGATGAATTTTCGTAATCATACTTTATTGCTCTTTCATTTATACAATAAGTTTTATTAACATCATAAATTGCAAACTTCTACATGGTAGAAATCTGAACGATGTACATCTCGATAGTCTTACACCCTGCCTAAAAGGGAATTGTAGAGAGTCGTGCAATTGCGTGAACTTAATAATCCAGTTAAAACGCATTATATCGTAAATACAATATTCCCTTTTTATAATCGCGCATTGACTATCCTACCATAGGTACCTAATCGCATCACGGCCCTATCTCGTCGAGTCACATTAATTCCATCAGTAACATAGTCAGTCAGTTTCGGATAAAAGAGACGCCAAAAACGAATCCGCAATTCCCTGCTATCGCGTTAACCCGTTAACTGTGGAATTTAATTTAAAAAATCACTGATAATGCTCGCAATGAAATCAAATAACGATGTGTATACTCGTCAAACGCAAGCCAAATGCATCTGTAATACATATATTCTAACGAACAGCTAAAGCAAAACGGAAAAGAATTACATGTCTATCTGAAAAAATAAATAATTTGATTATTTATTTAATAATTATTTAACAATAACTATTAAAAATAAATAATTTGATCGTTGAAGGAATTAGTACCATTTTAATTTTAGGATGACGTGTATACTCGTCGAACGCAGTTAACTGGTTAATTGAACCGAAC